GGAAGGAAGGAAGGAAGGAAGGAAGGAAGGAAGGAAGGAAGGAAGGAAGGAAGGAAGGAAGGAAGAAGTTGGTTTAGACCGGCAGTAGATATAGCAGTATATATGTTCTGGTAAGGCCCCTATGGAGTCTTAACCCTTGCCCGAGGTCACATGGCACGTACTCTAGGCTGACTCATGCATTTCTTACCTCCTGAAGCTGTGATTACTGCTGTGGCTTTTGTCCTGGTCTGCCTCCTCCTTGTCATGCTTCGCTACCTGTACCGGCACAAGGGGACCTACCACACCAATGAGGCCAAAGGCACAGAGTTTGCAGAGAGTGCAGACATGGCCCTGCAGAGTGACCCTGCCCTCCAAGAAGCTGGTGACAACAGCAGGAAGGAGTACTTCATCTGAAGGACAGCAGACCTTTCCTCCCCGAATGCGTCCTCCAGCTGTGGGATTGGAAAGGCCCCAACACCTACCACCCTTTCCAGAACCACCAGGGAGCTCTCAAGGGCACTGGCTCTTCCTAAGATTTGCCTTAGAGAACATTGGGTGCCTGCCAGGAAGAAAGGGGAGGATGCATGTTATAGGGGTCTGTCCAGGGGACCCAGGGGAACAGCAGCTACCCCAGGAAATGTGCCTTTGTACTGTGAAAAAAAAGGAGAAAGAAAGTCTGACATTTAGGTCTTTCTGGGCCTTCAAGTGTCATCTTACCAGCATGAGAAGCCTTCCAAGTGTGAGAGGGGTGGGTATATATAAGAAAGTGAGACATCCATCTGCTGACTGGGGATAATGACATCAAATGTCAGTCCTTGACATTTGGGGGAAAACAGCAGGTGCCAGAGCTGAAAGGTACCTTTGTCTCCCATTGATCCAGCTTAAAACGATTGGAAATAAATCTGAAATGTAACCAAGCATTCCATGTCAAACCCACACTACTCTAATTGTCTGAGGAACGATAAATGCTAACCAATTCTGGCTTTTCCCTGGTGTGATTCTGAGTCCTCTGACAAAGTATATGTGCATGGGGTTGAAACTGTCTGGTAGTGGTATGTGTGCATACATGTATGTACATAGATGTGTATGCATGAATGTATGATTGTGTGTGTGTGTCCAGCATCATTTCCCCACACACACATATACACCAGCTATCCAAATCAAATATAAGGAAACACATTGTCCCAGTGGTCAGGGAACTGGCTAAAGGGCTGGTTTCTGATGTGCTGTATTAAAACAACTGGACCTACTCAAAGTTATGAGTGAACTCTGTCATTTATCCCAAGTGAGGATGGTGCTTGGTGATTGTAATATAGACTGTAGAGTCCACTCTCTTGTCTTGGGATATCAGGACACTTACTTGACGTGTCTGGTCTCTATGTTCCCATGCTTCAAGTGAGAATAATGCTAATAAAGGTAACTCTGGATGCTAGTGCCCAGCAGTGCAGGCAGGATCACAGGTGCCCAACACAAAGCATTCTCACTTGTAGTGTCACCAACACATAATGAAATGTCCTCCATTCACCACTTGCACACTTCCACCCTGAGGAGTAACTGAAATACAAAATGAATGGCAGAGAAAATGAGCTCATTAACCATCCCTTTCCACTTGAATCTTGGTAAGATTCCTAACAGCTCATCAGCCACTCAGAGCAACAGCTCTGAGTTGGTCAACTGTTTCCTGGAGTGCCAGCATCATCTTGGATATCTCCTCAGCTCCACCATCTCCACTAGAGTAGGCAAAAGCACACACCTCACAGTTCCTGGGAGGTTAATAGCAATGCAAGCTTAAAACGGGCTACAGTCCTAAGATGTTGCAGGGGGAGAGAAAAGAGGCAGAGAGAGCTGGCAGCAACTGACAATAGTAAGATACCCTTTCCCCAGGTGACTTTGCTTGCATGCCCTCTACTGTAAAATGCAATGCTTAATAATAGTAGCCACCCCTTATCTGAGGGCAATGTGTTCCAGAACTCCCAGTGGGCACGTGAAACCAAAGATAACACATTTGTATGGTATATTCCGATAGTATGTTCTGTTAAGTAATATATATGAATAACAATGATAAAGTTTAATTTATACATTAGACACAATAGGAAATTTAACAATAATAGTAAAATAGTGTGACTAATACCCATACACTATAATAAAAGTTACTTAAATTGTGAGTTGTTTATTTCTGGAATTTTCTATCTAATATTCTCAGATGACAGTGGAACAAGGGGAATTTAAACTTCAGAAAGCAAAATTGTGGATGGGAGTCTATTACCTAGGGCCTTGCTTCCCATACTGTTCTAGAATACCAACCTGGTAAAATCATTATAGAACAAGGAGCAAACAAAAAGGATGTTTATTATGAAAATAAGTTTCAAAATATTGTGATTAAGTAAGGTAAAGCTTCTTGACTTCGCTACTAGTTCAGTATAAGTTGACTCTTAAAGGAAGGGAAACAAGGGATGAATTTCCCACAAACTCATGGGTTATGACATCTAACTGACATCTAACATCCCTTCATATGGTCATATCAGTTCCACTTTTGAAAGTGCCAGCCTACTTGTCTTTGAGGATTTGATCACAGATGACTGACCAGTAAGCACAAAGAAGGTACACAGACCTGCCTTGCTTTGGAAAGGGCTCCACTCCTGGGAGATTACCCAAAAACCCTTGATTATTTCAAAGGATGTTGGCCACGTGCCCCTCCTTCAGTGGGTCCAGAAGCCATCTGTACTACCTATGGATTTAGAACTGGCCCCAGGTCTGATTTCTCCTCCTCTCACCTACCCATCCCAAACCCATCTCATTCTCCTTACTTTCCCAGTGGCCTGAAAACCTACTGAAGTACACCTTCCTCACCAGCTCTCTGAATTCCAACTCAGCAGCAGTGATAGTATCTCAGCTTCAGTGCTGGGTCCTCAAATGTGGCCCAGTCCAGATGTCACCAAGGAGGAAGTTATGACAAGCTGACTTCTGAGGCCAGAATACTGCACTGGAGGGAAGAGTGAATTATGAGATAGCACCGCATATAGTAACACATGCACGCACACACATTCACAAACACACACACACACAACATACACACGGGAAAAGATGTAAGTTATGACCCACCTAAGTCAAAGACCCTTTCATTGTCTTTGCTAGCTCCCTAGCAATACACTGAAGACGGAGGTCATTATACAATTATGTCCTGAGAATGAAGCTGCGGTAAATATGCACAAAGAGGCACAAATCAGAGTTTCCTCAACCTGTTAAGGATGAAGAAAGGAAAGAGGAAATGAACAAGGAAAAAAGATGATGAGAAGCACAAAGATGGGGAAGGATGACTGGAAGCAAATTTAGAAAGGCCCAAGTATGCTAGAAGACATCTTTGCTTCTTTACAAGACCTTCAACCCTTACTAAACAACCACAGCAGGTGATTTAGGTTCATTCTCTCCTTAGATCTGCCGAGACTGAAGCCCCAGAACGGCTGAGAGCTATGGAGGGCATGACACATCGATCCCCAGAAAGAACATAGGAACCTTTACCTGCCTGACTCATTCCTTCTCACCTTGTTGAAGGTGATCACCAGAATTCTTAGGGGTGCAGACTCCTGAATACTGGAGCCTTTTACCAATGTGGGGGTCAGAGCACTCTAGGCCCTGTCTGTCATCCAGAGACACTGGCTCATGACAGAATGACATCCTGAGCTACCACCCCCTCCCTGTCCTGGATGAGAGATCACACTGGTGTGAGGAGATGATCCAGTAGTAGATTGGTCTGCCTGGCTTTGGCACATGATAAGAGGTCAAGGACAAATGCTGTAGGGTTGGTTACTTCCCAACCACATCCCAATTCCCCAGAAGCTGGCTCAGGCCACTCTTATCAAAGGGAAAATGGCCATTAGATGACAAAACAGCTATACCACTCCCTCTTAGATGATTTGTAGTCCTGGAAGCTCTCATCTCCACGTATGAGCACAGGTAGCCCTTACTCTGTCCCTGTTAACCTATCATAAATTGAAAATACCATTAAGCCAAAACTGAACTTAGTATGCCTAGTTTATTGAACACAGCTTAGCCCAGACTGCAGGGCATTTACATTTTCCCTATAATTTTTAGACAAGATCATCTAACCCAAAGCTTTATTTTTAATATATATTTTTATTGCACAGATACTGTATAGAGGGGTTACAGTTACATGAGTAAGGTAAGAGTACATTTCCTCTCGAGCATTGTTACCCCCTGCTTTGTTTTTCCCCTACCATCCCTTCCCTCTACCTCCCCAACTCCTCCCTCCCTCCACCCCAAAGTTATAAAGTTCACTTTCAACATAGTGTCTTATACATCTCATTGTTGCAATGGGTCAACCTGTATCCGTATTTCAGCATTTTGTTATTCCCCTTCCCCTCCCAGGTTTTATCTTTGTTGCTGTTGTTTTTAATGTATTTATAATGTACCAAAGCTTTATTTTTAAGATGTCAAAGGGTATATGTAATCTATCAAATATTACAGAGAAGTGATAAGCAGAAAGATTGTTGATATGTTTTCATACCATACAAAGTTGAAATTTTCTGAGTTAAAACAATTCAAACCCAGAGACCTTTTGAATTTAGCAAAGAAATTTCAGATCCAGAGATCAATAGTGTGTGTGTGTGTGTGTGTGTGTGTGTGTGTGTGTAAAATTACAACTCACAAACGTGGGGATTACATAGCTGAAGCTAGACATATAAAGGTAGACAACCCTAAAGTGTTACAGAAAACTAAGAAGGAAGGGACCAGTTCTACTTGGAGGATGAGATGGACTTAGGAAGGGCTTCAGAGGCAAAAGGAGGCCTAGATCAGGTGAGGACTGGAGCCTGAGTCCCAAGCTATGAAATTTGGTGTTTGTTACATGAGCCATTGGAAGTCATTGAGTGACACAAGATCAAATCAAACAGGACAGGAAATGAGAATGCATTGTAGACTTTCTAAGGTTTAGATCCTGCAGCTGGAGACCTCAGCTAGAGCTCATCTGCTCCCAAGACCAAGCAGTTAAGTCCACGTTCCATGTGGCTCAACTCATCCAGCCTAATGAGGAATGAGTCTCATTGTCTCTCCACAGGCAGTCTTTGAACATTATGTGAATATTAGGAAAAAAAGTTTACTTTGTTTAAAAAAATGGATTTCATCTTGCTAACACTGCTTAATTTTTTTCCATTCCTTTCTTGAATATATTTATTGGTAGCAATGGAGATATAATGGATATAATTTTAAAATGGATATAATTTTAACTGACCTGGTGCTGCAAAAGAGAACATTAGGTATTTTAATGTTTGCAGTTTACCATATCAACATAACATTACAAAAAGAGAATGATGCTCAAATTAACCTAATGGGCTCAGGTACTGACTAACTCTATAACCTACGAAAAATTATTTAACTTAAAAAATGTATTATTATTTTTAAGTAGTTGTACAATGGCATTTCAATATGCTTATTTATGAATATGATGCATTTTAATCAAAGCCATTGCTTCTATCATTCTCTCCCAACTGTCCCAAGCCCACACTTGCCTTCAAGTTACATGGTTCCATTTTCATATTTGTATACTGAATATTATGACTATATTCACCCACTACTCCTCTCTCCATTTGTCTGCTTCCCTTTCATTTTTTGACCTTTCCCCCTTGGTAAAAAAAAATAATGATTTAACTTTTCCACATTCCAGACTTGTCAACAACATGAAGAACATGTTTGTACTTTAGAGGGCTTTAAATATTCTTAATGTTTTAAACATATTTTGAATAATAAAGATATAAGCATGCTAAGAATTGTGAAGGGGATAGTATTTTACTTTCACGTGAGCAAGTTAGCTATAACAAATTCACAAATACTAACAGAAAGCATGGGATACCTTGGTCAAAGACAAAGGACTTTATTATTCAGATCTCTTTGTACCCTAGTCTCACATGGGTCACATGGAATGCCCCAAATGATAACTTGCCCACATGGTGGGTTGAGTTCCAGAACTGAG